CCCGTCCACCTGCCAACGGCCAGCGATGCGTCCACAACTAGGGTCGCAAGGGGGTGCCGCAGGGATAGGAATGAGCAGGCAGGAGGAAGGAATAGTGAAAAAGGGGAGCGAGGTGCGAGGGGAGGATTCAGTGGGCCGGAGCAGAAAGGAGGACACGAACGGCAACGGCAAGGGCGAGGATGAAGAGGACGACGACAAGGAGAATGACGGGGATGCGGAGAACAGGGATCGGGGATCTTCTGACCCGGGTCAATCCAGACCCGGGTCAGCAGGAAACCAAAAACTGCAATGCAAGAAAAAAACTGCAACGCAGGTCTTCGCAAACCCGGGTCAGCCAATATGCGCGGCCGCCTCGCGGCCACGAGCGGCTCGCTAACCCGGGTCAGCCAGAGGGGGTCTTCGCAGGATCCTGCAGGATCTGGCGCTCTGGCTGACCCCCGTTTGCATTGACCCCCGTCTCCAGGCTCCCGAAGGGAGCTGGAGGGGGAGGACCGGGAGAACGGAGAAGCAGGAGGAGGATCCCTCCCCGGCGGGCGGCCGCGCTTGCTGTCGCCCGCTGGGGTCCCAGGCTGGACATCTTCAGCACCCACGCGGTGGCGCTCTTCATGTCCCCCGCCCGTGCGAATGCGGCCACCACCTGGCGAGGAGAGCGCGCCACGCGCCACGCGCACGTGCTGCTCGGGGGGGGGGAAAGTGTCGGGCCACTACCCCGCCCAGCGGAGCGCCCCTGCCGATGGACGCGGACGCGGACATGGCGCATCCTCGTACTGGGGGGCGGCCCTGCGAGGGGCTGGGCGGTGGCGCCTCGGCGCCGGCAGAGACACTGACACTGCACAGAAGCTGGGGCAAAAGAAGTAAGGACGAGTCGGCCGGCCGACTCACCGATAGAGGGGGAAAATAATTGAGGGCGTCCAATACGGGGACGTCCAAAGAGGGGGGGTCGCAAATCATGGCCGGCGGCACGCGCGCGGCCCAAGGGGCGGCCAGGAACGTGTGGAAATACGACGGGGCGCCGTGACATCTAGGGAGACATCGTGGCCACCGCAAAGATGTCCCCCCCCCTCCCGCAGTCATCACCCCCCTCCGGGCCGCCCCCGAGAGGGTGAGACGCGCGCGCAGCTCCAGAGAGTCGGGGATGGACAGACCACCCTTTAGTAAAACGTGGTTTTGTGAAAACGACCTCGGGCCCAAACCTGGCAGGCGCAGGCCTGGAAAAGGACGACCGCGGCGCCCTCTCGAGAGCCGAACACGGACAATTCACCAATCGACGTGCCACTGTTGGTGGTTCGGTCCGCCCCCGACGCAGAGATGTCCCCCCCCCCCCTCTCCCGCAGTCGTCATCCCCCCCTCCTGGCCGCCCCCGAGGGGGCGAGGCGCGCGCGCAGCTCCACAGAGGCCGACGCAGAGCAGCCCGTGGTGAGGATCGGGGCGGCCCGCCCTGCGGGCTCTCGGTGCGGCAGCACCTCTCGCCGAGCGGTGCTGCCACCCCTCCCCGGAGCACAGGCCGCCCCCCTCCCCCCCCCAGAGCATCGGCCGGGCAGGAGAGCAGGGGGCAGAACATCCACCCCGAGAATAACCACCCCGACGCGCGAGGCCGTGGAGTGAGCGCACCCAAGGAAGGACTCCAGCGGGGCAGGGCGGCTTCGTGAACGCCCGGGGCCGTTGCGTAGACGCCAATTGTCCGGTCCGGGTGGCTGTTCCTCCCGTGAGGGAGGCGTCGGGAGCGGCCAAGAGGGGGGTGTCCAAGAGGGGGGGGGTGCAAATCATGACCGGCGGCATGTGCGCGGCCCAGCGGGGGGGCCTGGGACGCAACAAAAGAAGCAGAGGCGCCATGGAATCTGAGGAAAAATAAATCATGGCCCGCGCCATGAAATCCCCCCCCCCTAGTCATCACCCCCCTCTTTGCCGCCCTTGAGTTTTTCCCCCTCCTGACACCCTGTGACCCTTTCCCCGGAGCCGGTTTTTCATCCTGAGTCGTTTATTGAAGGTCCCGAGGCCCGGTAAGGGCCCCCAGTAGCCGAACATACAGATTTCCGGCGCAGATTTGTTTTACGACGCGAGCATGTCTGGGACCCCCTCTTTTCCGCCCCCGAAGGCGGTGAGGGGAGGAGGTGCGGTGAAGGCAGCGCGGCGCGGCGGAAGGGGCGGTGAAGGGCGCGCGCGCGCGACGAGAGGGCGCCTCTCTTCGGCCTCGGGTTCGGGCGCCGGCCCCCCCCCCCCCTCCACCCGTGCTCCCGCCGCTCGGGAGCAGGAGTGATGGAGGAGGAGGAGGAGGAGGAGGAGGAGGAGGAGGAGGAGGAGGAGGAGGAGGAGGAGGAGGAGGAGGAGGAGGAGCGGGCGACCCGCGGCCGCTTGACACTACGGACGCGTGCGTCCGCCAGCGGGAGCGCAGCAGCAGCAGGAGGAGGAGGAGGAGGAGGAGGAGGAGGAGGGAGGAGGAGGAGGAGGAGGAGGAGGAGGCGAGGAGGAGGAGGAGGAGGAGAAGAGCACGCGCACACGCACAGGCTCCTCCAGCGACGAGGTGGCGGCACCGTCGCGAAGCGCCGAGCCGGGAACGCCCCGGCTCGGCGGCGAGCGATGGGAGGACTGAGAAGGAGAAGGCCTTCTCAGAAGGCGGCGGGGCGTCTCAGGAGGCCTCTGGCCTCCTACAAGGTCTGCCCGTGTCTTCGGGGAAGGCTGCAGACAGCTTCTCAGGAGGCCCCGGGGACTTCCGAGCCTTCTGAGAGGGCCCGCCCCGTCTCGCTTCCCTCCTGCGCTCGCCGCCGATGGGCGGACTTGCGTTGGATTCAGCAGATGGGTGGACTGGGCGTGGCAGCCACTCTGTCGGGGCGTTGACCTAAGGAACGATAGATAAGGAACGAGGCCCCTTTTTCCCATATGGTAAACTCCGATTGTCCATGGAAAACCTTAGGAAAACCCAAGGAGCACTGTAAAGCAACTAAGGAACGCGGAGCCCCTCCCCAACAGAAAGGGTTCCTTCTTCAGGGCCCCGACTGCATGACGAAAAGGGGGCTGCGCTACACAAGCGGGTGGGTGTCCGATGCAGTTCAGCCGCACGTGCGGACCATGCAAGAGTGGGGGGGGGGCAGGAGGGCCAAGGGAACGCAAGTCGCGCATGAGACCGCAGAAAGAACGCGGCATGCGCGCCGCCATGCCAACTTGCACGATCGAGGCGCGGTAGAATGCCAAAGGGCTGTCTGGCAGCGCCCCTGTGAGAATTCAAAGAAGCTTCCCTCGCCTCCTCGAGCGCCCCTCCCAAGGGTTCTGGGCGCACCGACACGTGCCTGGCGCTCTCTGGGGCGTCGGAACTGCGCGAGCTAACTTTCAAGACGGCCCAGGCAGTCCAACCAGGCCGCCGCGACGGCCGAAGATGCTTCCACGATAGCCCAAGATGGCCCAAAAGCGACCCAAGATGGACTCAAGACGGCCCCACATGCTCCCCCCCAATACGGCCCAAGAGGTTCTCCAGACGATCCCCAAGATGGCCCGTCGATGTCATAATCATTGAGTTGTCTGACGCTTGACATGTCGCGACGGTGCAGATGACGAAACACAGCGTGGATTAAAATGACCAAGGGCACCATGGCGCGGTACGGTTCAAAACGAGGCTTTCGCTTGCAAGAACTTAGCACCCAAAATCATTTGGGAGATCCGAGGGAAGTTCTGCGGTAAGTCCCAACATAAACAGTTGAAGGCACATCTGATGGAACGCACCACAACAAGTCTGGCCACCACCAAAAACAACAACCGAATTGCTATATTAACGAAGACCCTTGGGAACAACATGTTGGCTCTATCTTCACGAGGGAGATATGCAAGAATATCCGAAGGACCATGACGAGGAATTGCTGGCAGGAACTCCGAAGAAAGACCTGGATATCCAGAAGACATCCTACAAAACATCTGACGGAAGATCTCGAAGAATATGCGACACCGAATATTGTACGACAGGTCCCAAAGAACAAATCCAACAGCATCAGCGGACATAGATTTGGACAACGACCCTCAATAACATACAAAATAATGCCTAGTCACAACCTAAAACATACAATCGTGAGGAATGAAACAGCAAGATCGAACGGAAGGTCTGAACGGAAGGCCCTGCAAGACGAGTGACTGTGTGGGATACACATATTACCTAACATGGGCTTAGACTACGGCAGTCTAGAGAACAGTCTCAAACACTCCATTCGGGAAGGAGTGAAGTTCTGGCTGAAGATGCAACAGGAGATCAGCAGGAATGCCAAAGGACAAACACGCAAGCAAATGGGGAACCTTGAAGACGACCTGACCGAAACTATGCCGGATGATCATATGGAACATCGTAAGGCAGATCTGAAGGCAGATCTGGAATACGAACTGAATTCCAAGGAAGATCTGACGGAAGCTCCGAATAAAGATCTCGATGAAAATATGAAGACAGTTTCCCATGCAGGTCCACCGAGAAGCATTTCGCAACACCTGCTGAGAAACATTAGCGAAGACCTGAGGGAAGATCTGAAACAAAATCTGACGAACAAACATCCGCGACGGTTGTTGTGCTGGTGTCGGTGTTGATCGTGATGTGTTTGTACCGTGGTGGTTGAGCTGGCGAGTCTGCTGGACGCTGTGCTGATGGTTGCGCTGGCGATCGTGTTGGTGATTGAACCGGCGGTGGTGGTGGCGCTGGTGCTTGCGCAGATGACTACAACGGTGACTACAAATGCAGAGGGCTTGGATCAAGAACACCAGACAACCCCGTAGGATGACATGAAGGACTAACGTATGGACTGTCCTGGGGAAGCACATCTGTGAGGACTACCTGAGTGAGCACCAATTTATCCGAATCCATGAATCATGTACAATGAACTCTAAACATAGGTCAGCGGTATTCGAAACGATACATCTGAAAGAACTTCTGATTCCATACAACATGGAGATCCGCCGAAACATTGGGAGGACTATGAGATGGAGATTTGACGATCAGCAAGAGAACCTACAGAAAGACCAGGCGTAGATGT